TAAAAATAGACAAGACGTGTCACTCGGTGGATACAGGCTGACATTTCAGGGTTGTCTTCAACAGTTCCAAAAATACAAGTGTTTTTCTAGGGCCACACATCACTTATTTGTTGATTTTAAGTCTGGCTGAGTTCTGTCTGTTTTGTTTAAACCCTTTCCAACCCGAGGTTGCATGCATTGTTGCATTAGCTTGTTCATGACTGGCACTGCATAGGGAAGTGTTCATCCAGCAGTGGATTGACAAAGGGGGGACTGCACAGTACGGAAGCTTTGCACTCACAACATTGAACGATCATCCAGTAGCTTTCATTTGGCATCCTGCCGATGGGATTTGGTGAAGTCAAAGCTGGCGCGAGTTTTTTTTTTTTATAAACAAATACTCATCATCATCATCAGCCAAGATGTAACCACTGCTTGATGAAGGTCTCCCCAAAGCTATCGCCATCCACTACGGTCTCGCCATGTAACGATCCGCCTAGCAGCCTGCGTGCAACAGCTGATCTCAAAATGTGTTTTTTTTCTCAGCGCTGATCCCATCCCTGCTACTCCGTCATCAGTCACAACCGTCGGCCTGGCAATCCTGCACCAACCCCTCCCCCCCCCCCGTGCATTTCTTAGCGGTCGATAGGACCGTCTGTTCTCCAATGTGATGCGATGGCGGGGGGTGGAGGGGGGGGGGAAGAAACACTCATCCAAAGGCCACTCTGGTCAACGGATTATATTTTCATTTATTTAATTTGAGTGCTTGAACAGTCGATGGCGTTGTTTGTCAGAATAATTTGATGCTGAATGAGACGCATGCACTGCCCAGTGAAGAAGTTACTGCCTGGGGAGGCAATGTGCTTGCTGAAAGATGAGCGGCCACGGTGGTGCTGCCAATGGATTTTCCCTTCAGAATTTAAGAAATCTAGGCCAATTCGAGTCAACCTTGCAGAGAGGTCCCAACGTGTCGTTGCGAAATCTGTCCTCAGTGATCCGGAGGGATATTTGTGCCCGACAGGAAATACCTCATGGGAAAAGTAAATATATGTTTGCATATATTTCGTGTTATATCGACTGTGCCTTCGGCCTTTATATGGCCCCTGCCATGAAAATGTGGAATTTTAACCACGGGCTCACAGCTGCCATAGGAAATGAAAGCTGTTCGTAGCTCAGTTGCGCTGGGAGGCACGTTGACGTTGACATTTACGAGGTTTCTTATCGTCAGGGAAAGTGCATAGTTCCGATAAATTTTGCTGGGGAAAAAACGGCTCATGGAAATTTGGGAGACAATACACCGGAAAGTCACGGCTTTTACAAGATAGAGCTGATGTTTTGCTTTTCGAAAATTCTTCAAGAAACCCCAGCGAACAGGATATCCCATGCAAAACTAAGTCAGCCATCATAATGGCATTTCACCGACATGACATATTCTACA